GGGTTGACTTTACAATTAGTTTATGGAAGCATGCACTGAGTGTGATTCACAACCTGTAATCCCCCTAGCTGTTGTCTGTTGAATTTATCAGTGTTGAACTAGCCTGGAAACTAGCCAGTTTAGTTGGGGAAACTAAATGACAAATAGATAGCAGTGTATATTTTGATTGATTGTTAAATAGTAGAAGTAATTTATATTATTCTCATTCTAGGAAAAATTGTTTCCTGCAATCCTACTACACTGGAAGAAATACCAATCATGTATGATTGAACAATTGAAGTCTTCTGGGAAACAACTTGTTATTGCTGGTGATGGGAGACATGATTCAATGGGGCACAGTGCAAAATACTGTGCATACTCAGTGTTTTGTTGCACTGTTCCCAACATTATTGATTTTTCTATTGTGCAGGTAATTTGTGTCCAAGGTATTGAAAAAGATTGCAAAGGAAAGTGGATGTGAGGCAATTTCACAATGGATCAAGCCATGCACCAACCATTTGTTTTGGAGTGTGACAACAACATTCAGTGGGCATGGATTGGTAATGTTAGCAAAATTCAAGTCATTTTTCAGCCACATTATAAACCGTCACAGTAAACTTCCTGATCGACTTTTTACCAAGTGTGCACATGATTCAAATATCCAAGATCGGAAATGGCTTGATGAGGGTTAGTCAATATAATGTTAAAAGAAAGGATAGAAGTGTCTATATTAATACTAACTTCACCGAAAGAATATTTTGCATTCCTGAAACCTTGTCTAGTACCGATAATGTCTATAGACATCACATTATACTTAGCAACTTATGCTTTGCCTTTTAGATTCCATTGCCTACATCAAGATGCATGCAGCTTTGACTAAGCGAAGTTTGGTAGCTGGAATAAAAAAGGCTTCTCCACTAGAGCAGACTAGTTGCCTTGAAGGCTTTCATTTGGTATTGAATCAGTTTTCACCCAAAATGCTAAGCTACTCGTACCCTTGGATGTTTGCAAGGTAGAGTAAATGATTATGAAAACTGTTATTTTTTTTAATTAAGAAATAAAGCAAACCTAAAATATTCCTGTTTTAGACATGCCCTGGCAGTAATTCATTTTAATATTAACTTGAAGAGGGATGTGAAAGAAATCAATGGTGTCAAACAAGTTAAATTGGTATATCCTAAGTTCAAAAATGGTGAGGCCGTTGTTAGAAATGTTACAGTAAAACCAAATTTTGGTAAGCAAAGCTTTTGCACATAAACAGAACATTGAGGTTAATTCTGTGAACCACCTTGTCAGATATTGATGACTATTCAGGATTATTGTCATTCTTAAAACTACTGTAATACCCAAATAAGAAGATTTTCTGGAATCTATACCACCTCCAGCACTGTTAATAGAAATTAAGCAACAACCAGTCACCAATGTTTATGGAAATATTCTATGAGTTGTGCAACTTGCACTGCATCCACATATTCTCTGGAGAATCTACACCCTCTGTAAGATCTGACCTTGCCAAATTTCAATTTTTGTAGACTATGTTGAAAAGATATACCAGACAACCCTATGTGCTATTAGAGATAATACAGTGAATAAAGCAGAAAAAGATCTGAAATTAATGACTCCTTTGCCAAGGAACAGCACGCTAAATAAGCAGTCAAAGGATGAGGCAATCCAGAAACACAGTGCCAGAAAGGCCGTGACAACCATTGATGTACCTCCTACTAATCCAGGTACAGTATGTATGACAATTAAAACTATCTTCAGTTCAGGAATGTTCGGTATGAGAAATTTCCGGTATCGGTATACCGAAAAAATTATACCGATATTATCGGTATACCGGTCTTCCTGAAGGAAATTGAATAATTCTAAAAGGGAAAACAATCATTTCGAAGCTGTTTCGAATGACACATACTCAATGCAAAATCTCACTGAAGTGGAAATTCTAAATCATTGCAGTAGAAAGTTCTTTGAATTGCCATTCAGTAGTAAAATAAAGGTTATGGTTTGCCATATAGTTGGGAAATTTAACACGGTATACTGAAAAATTCCGGTATATCGGTATGGTTGAATATCCGGTATCGATATACCAATATTGATTTAATACCGATATTTTCGGTATATCGGTATACCGAACAGTCCTACTTCAGACTAAAATAATCTAACATTAGACAATGTCAGTAAATGAATAAAATAGGCATATTGCTGTGACAATTTTTACTGTAAAGACTGTAAAGTTAGCCATTGTTCGAACCATATTCGGAACGTTCAGTATGTGTACCCCAAATTTCTTTTAACAGAAACTCATTGCATAGATACATAATAGAATATAAATAAATATTGTTTTAATTATAACTACATCAACTATATATTCTTTTTTAAGCGTTTGACTTTGATTTCATAAATAGTCTTAATCAAGTGCTCCTGCCATTTCAAATATTTAAGGATGAGCGTCAGGGTCATGCATTGCAGACTTTTATTATTGTCAGCAACAAATAACGATAAAAATTATCTTGTTTGGTTCATTTCCAAAAAAAATATATGTAAACGTTCTGAGCAGGGATTCATAAAGAATGGTTTAAATAATTGACGGATTAAAAAGACATTTCCCGATCAGTAGTCCCAGTCGGCCCATGAAATGGATACCAGCAGGAAAGGAAGTTGCACCTGCAATGCATGACCCTGACACTCATCCTTTAATTAAACATATTAAACTATTTGGCTCCTTCTATTTTGTACTTTAGTACAAGAAGCTCCAGTCAGCCAGGATCAAACAACAGGAAGAGCAAAACCACACTGTTCCATTTGTAAGCAACCCATGAAAGGTCATAAAAATGTTGCTAATTGCCCAAAGAACCAGAAGTAACTGCAATGGCTAAGCACTCCTATGGCCTGTATGGGCAGAACTGATTAATATACATGTGCTTACAAACATTGTACTAGCAATAATTTAAACTTTTACCATATATTAACTTTTTATATTTCGTCTTCCTCATATCCAACAAAGTTATCATCAACAACTTTAAAGGTTGTACGGATGGCATGGTATGCACATACAGGTAAAGGGATTCTTTTGTCACGAATGACACCATGCACCATTCTTGTAAATTGTCTATATGAGACACTACGAAGAAACCTGTGCAAGTAAAAAAAGTACTAAGTAAACTGAATGCATTTTATAGGTATCAAATATAGATATCAGTCAGTACCAATTGTATCAATGCCCCCCTTTTAGACCAGTTCCACCAGGATTGGGTAGATTATACATTTTTCTAGCTCGGGGTAGCAAGTGTATGGGTGAATCACACTTATATTACTTTTGCTATGTCCCAAAAGCCATATGCATTTCAGTTAGCAATGAATTTGCATTCAATCTTATAATAAAAGGTATGGTTTAGAGACTCAATCTAAGAACAATACAACTCATGTATGTTTTTGTCTTGGTCTATCCAAAAATTTGGTCTTTAATTCCCTGAGAATGTTTCTTATCACATGTGTATTGTGATTTTACCCAACTCACTAGAAACAATGTTTTGGCCTGGTTATTCATGTGTAACGTGAAAGATTGGTTAGTTTATGAAAGATCATTATTAGTGGATATGACAAAAATACAGCACAATACTGTACACTTGATGAGCAAAGACCAAATTCTTTCATAAGTTACCTACCCTTACAAAGATAATGAGTCGCAGTTCAGTCATGTTTTCTATTAACTTTGATCTTATAATACCTTTCTTCAGCACCAGTTTTCTGATACTTCCTTTCTTGGCGTGTTTTGAACAAACCAGCTGACAAATGTCGACTCCAAACATTTAAGCAAACTGCAGCAAAACCTGGGTGACCTGTAATGCATATTGGTTCTTCACCAACAGCTTGTATTACATTTTCTTTCTGTAAAGCAGCCAGGCATCCTTTAACTTCCTTGCAACACTTACATTCCTTTGCATTTTTTAAAAAACTTGTGTTACAGTCCCCACATTTACACCTAAAAAAATATATACGTACTAAATAAATCTCAATTCATTGTTCTATGCAAGTGAGCTATAAAGCAATATTTTGTCAAATAATACTTTTATAAACTAAGCTGGTAATTCTTTATACTATACTGTATTATAAAGGATACAAAAGGTGACTATTTTGCCGGCAGCTGGCACGTTTTTAGCTTAGATTTCATATTGAAAAAATATTTAAAAATATAACATTTATTAAAATTGATTTTTTTCTGTGTTGGTGTATTAAAAAATGTACTCATGTGAATATGATGCTTGTGATGTTTAATACTCTGAGTGTATACCCACATCGGGCAAGCATGAAAAATATGCCTGACCATGGTCACTGGGAATCGAACCTACGACCTTTGGAATACTAGCCCAATGGCAATGCTCTGCCAACTGAGCTACGCGGTCAGGTCGGTTCGAGTATGTGATATTTCGGAACAGAATCTAGAATTATTAAAATTCTTACCATGAATTAATCGGTGTAAGTCCCTCGAGCCGTTTCTGATACTCTGCCATTTGCCTTTTTTCTTCTGCTTTGTTTTTTAAATATTCATTTAACCAGATCACATCTGCGAGAGGTTCGTCCATGTAAACATTGGTAAAGTTACTAATATTGTTTGTGTCCGCCTCAGATCCGCCATGTTGGAAATCGTTTTCCACTTCTAGTTCTCCTTGTCCCTCATAATCCTCATAAATATTTCCAAAAACTTCAGTTTCAGACTCTGAATTTGAGCTAGAACCTGATTTTGACATTTTTAAGTTTAATTTTCTCTTTTGAACAGCAAGTATTTCTAGTATTTACATAAGACCCAACACATGTTTGCTGCCGTATGCAGCCACCTATTCTTGACCATGTGTTTTTCTCGCACCAGTCCGTTTCCGGTTGGCCGAGTTATGTATAGCCGAGCGACAACTCGATTTTAATTGCATGTACGAATGTACGGATGATCAGATTTATGACGTATTTTGACGTCACAGAAATTTTAAAAAATAACATACTCCAGATCGCGATTTGACTTTCCGAATACCCGGGTTGAGACTCACGAACACCACCATGGACTATTACTATTTGTAAATAACATCACCTCGTGCTGTTGTAAATTTTGATTCCAGCTTGCTGCAAATTTTATGTCTGGCTGTTTATCGAAATATTATTTTACGTCTGGCTGTTTATCGAAAATATTGAAGGTAAGATGAAAGTTTGATTACAAGTAACAACGTTTTTTGTCGAATTATTTTTACCCATTGAAGCGAATGAATCAACTGTAATCTGTATAGGGTATATAACTATTAACTCAACCAGGAACGAAAACATCGAAATGACATAGAGTGTTTTATAGTGTCGTATAGTCTTGTATAACGTTGTATAGTGTTGTTTAGTCTTGTTATTAAATATAGTCGTCTATAGTGTAGTGTTGCGTTGTATAGTCTTGCATTGTGTCATATAGTCTTGTATAACGTTGTATAGTGTCGTAAAGTGTCGTATATCCTTATGTATTGTTGTATCGTCTTGTATCACGTTGTATGGTGTCGTATGGTGCCGTATCTAGTCTTGTATACTGTTGTATAATGTTGCATAGTGTCGTTTAGTGTCATATAGCCTTATATAGTGTTGTATAGTCTTGTATAACATTGTATAGTGTTGTATAGCTTTATATATTGTTATATAGTCTTGTACAACGTCGTATAGTGTCGCATAGCCTTATATATATATAATGTTGTATAGTTTTGTATAACGTTGTATAACGTTGTATAGTTTTGTATAACGTTGTATAGTGTTGTATAGCCTTGTGTATTATTGTGTAGTGTCGTATAGTGTTGTATAGTCTTACACAATGTCGTATAGTCTTGTATAATTAACATTGTGTAGTATGGTATATCCTTATATAGTGTTGTATAGTGTTGCATAACGTTGTGTAGTGTTGTATAGTCTGTCATGTACAATCTTGTATAGTGTCGTAATTTTGATAGTCTTGTATAACGTTGTATAGTGTTGTATAGTGTCGTATAACCTTATATATTGTTGTATAGTTTTGTATAATGTTGTATAGTGTCATATTGTGTCGTATAGCCTTTATATGTTGTTATATAGTCTTGTATAACGTTATATAGTGTTGTATAGTGTTGTATAGCCTTGTATATTATTGTGTAGTGTCGTAAGTGTTGTATACTCTTGTATAGTGTCGTATAGTCTTGTATAACGCTGTATAGTGTCGTATAGTCTTGTATAGCCTTATATACAGTAGTATTGTATAGTCTTTTATAACATTGGATAGTGTTGTATAGCCTTGTATAGTGTCATAAGATCATTAATAAGTTCACCTGCTTACAAGATATGTAGCTTTTAACAGTTTTTTTGTAAAAAAAAAACATACAGACAGACAGGATATATATAATAGTGTTATGCGCTTCCATTATTACCTCCGCCAGGAGGTTATGTAATCATCTGGGTTTGTATGTGTGTGTGTATGTGTATGTGTGTGTGTGTGTTTGTCTGTGAGCACGATAACTCAAGAAATACCAAACATATCCGTACGAAATTTTTTGAATGCATTTCTCATCGGCTAAGGAAGAACTGATTAAAATTTGGTTGAATTTGGTTAAAAATTGAACGAGAAATGAACAAAATTTTGTCTTGCTTTTCCCAGTCAATTAACAAAAAATATTACTGGATGCGTAATTAGGACGTGTATAATTTATGCACTCAGTGCTAAGACAATAATGAGATGATAAACCTCATTAAGCTTCGGCCTTCATTATCTATTGTCTTAGTTGCATTTCACGCGACCGAAATTCAATGTCTAAAACAAGGCTTACGGAGTTACGCATTATTACGTTCAGCAAAGTGCCAGTCCATTCAAATTCTAACAACATTAGATTACTTCAATACAGGGTGTACAGGGTGTCCCAAAAAAAACGAAAACTATTGAAATCACCAATAACAATTTAATTGTTAGAATTTGAATGCCTTAGCGCTCTGTTGGTTCCCACGAGTGCATAAATGATTTACACAAGCAAATTTTATGCATAAAGAAACTGTTTAAGAAGCTGTTTTTAATTCCCAGGAGCAGAAAATCGCGCACTTTACCAGGAGATATTCCTAACTAAATTCTAATACATGCAACATGTCAATATTTTACGCATCATTACGTCCAGCTGTTTGGTAGGGCATTCAAATTTAACAATAAGTGATTTCAATAGTTTTCGGTTTTTTGGGGACACCCTGTATAAAAAGAACGCAACCTCGGAATTTCCCAAGAAATCGACATTGTTTTAAAGACAAAAGATTTTAGCTGCCTGGGAATTTAAAATAGCACAACTGTGAAAATTACTGCACGCGCGAGTGCACGATAAAGCAAAATTTATGCATTTATTTAATGACACTTAATAAGTTTTTATTTTACAAGTACTGAACAGTACAACAACAGTAATATGTTCTATTAGCAATTCGATTTCAATTCGCGGGGGCCTGAAATCTTTTATGTTTAAGAATTATAAAGTGGATTTCTTAGGAAATTCCAAGGTTGCGTTTCACTTCCGAGTAACGGGCGAAGGTATGCAGTCTCTGAGTGCCCTCTAGTTAATAGTGTTATGGTATAGACGTATAATAGTAATGTTATGGTATGCATAATAATGTTATATTTCCATTGTTAATAGTATAAACAGTCCTTGGGTTTTGTGCATTATATTTATCCATTATTAATAGTGTTATTAACTGTTAGTCATTCCAGGTTATTACTCTAGAGGTGACCACGCTTGACTTTGTGTCTAAGAATATTTGTGACATTAACCTTAGTGAAAATCGCATAATAGCTAATTGTGTGGAGGTAGCCCTGCGGGTCACATTATAGATATATTGTCGGAGAAATAAGCCGTGGAATGACCCATAATTTGTTCATTTTTATGAGCTACTATCGTTTGGAGTGCTCAGAAAATGACCTGTTTCATTACAGAGAACTGTTTTCTTAATTTTAGATAATTAGAATATTGTTGTAACATATATGCACGCGATTCTTACAATACAATAAAATACGATTTTTATTGTTTAAAAACTATAATTGTAGTGTTATGTTTCCATTATAGTGTTATTTAGCTTTGTATTATCCACGGATTATAAACAGATTTTGAACAACCTAACTCAAAGTTTTGGCCGTGAGACAGCATTTCCTTGCGTTAGTAACTTCTAGTTTAGGAATTTAGCCTGCGTAGAATGTTTTGACTTCGACACC